CTTCTTTACTTTTATCTACAAATGTTTATTCCACATAATATCTACATGTGTACCACTTGTTTGACTGTATAAATAACAATTGAAAGAAAAATATTGAAATTATTTATTATTGTTATAATATTAACCCGCAAAGGACACGTGGGTGCAAAGTCGCACCAGCAAAACACGCTTTTCTGAAAAACAATGTTTTTAAAAAAATATATATTATACCAATCAATTCCTTACAAAATTTCACATAAAAAAATATACGCAGAACTTTTTTCGCTTTTTATTGAAACATTACAAGTGCCTGGGTGCGATTTCGCACTCAGGTGTTCTTTACGGGTGCTTAAAAGGGTCGTATCCTTTACGGGTTAATAGTTATTTACTATTCTCATATTCGATATAAGTTTTGTGCAATTTCGTCCCTACGATTTATACCATCACATATGAATAGTGGAAAATCATCTCTATGCTCTACATTAACATCATTTTCATCACGAATGAATTGTCTTCCTTCCTCTTCATATATACATGTATTTAATAAATCATCAGGATGATCCAGGCAAATATTATGTAATACATACGCTGCAATGATGGTGCATGGAATAAGATCCAATCGATTCATGTCTAAATATCTGAGTGCGAAATCTTCCGAACAGCAAAGCAAAGGAGCGCCCAACAACTTGACGTGTTTTTGCGTGACATTTATTGAAGTTTGTCTGCCATGGTTGCAGTCGACCGCGATCAATACAAGGTATACACCATGCTGTCACTGGATAGGCCTTATCGCCAATTATGAAACTATTATTCTCAAAATAATAATTTTGGTTCTCCGTAAAATGGCCATAAATGTCGGAATTTCTAAAAATCCGGACGTCTGAAACGGAACTTGGAAATCCAGTAAAGTAGTCAGTAAATCTTCTGTTATGATCACAAATAGCTTGTAGTGTCATTCCGTGAAAGCATTTTCGATTGATGTATACTTCCGGATTTTTTTTCGGTGCTTTGACCGGAATATATGTACCATCGATAGCACCGATAACTCCTCTTAGTCCTGCGAAGGCAAAAAATCCTTCGTTTACTTTTTGAGCTCTTGCACCTTTGAGCCATGATATTACTTGTGGTGCTATATGATTAAGAGCTATAATAACTCTTACAAAACAAGCAAATAAAGTTGACTTTCCCATATCGAACCTGCATCCAACTGACCTATAATTTATCGTAATGGTCAACAAGTGTTTGTATGAATACGTGCGTGCGTGCGTGTGTGTTAATCTAGCATATAATAATAACTTATACCTGTAACTGTCAGGAGTTGCAAGTAACCACAAAACCGCCAGAATTTGCTTTCTTGGTTCAATCGTTTGACGTCCAGACTCATGCTGACTCTTCAAATAAACAAGAATTGTTTTATGTAACCATTCGAAAGCTTGTCCTGTTATTCGGAAGTGGCTTTGGAACTCCTTCTCTGACATAAATTGCACCGTTTGATCGTAGAAATGTTTAATTCTCACAGGAACATTTTTCTTCTTTCTAACCCTCGTTATTACTTGATTTACGAACAGTTCTACAATTTCTTCATCCGTACTGTCATCATCGTCATCTATTAATTGCTCCAAATTATTTACGAAGAACGTATTGTAAAATGTAATTGCATTTTGCATAATCATGCCGACTCCCCTTTTCATAAAAATAAATGATTTTCATTTTATTTTATTTCTGTATATTAACCTATATCTATATATAATATATATTTAATTTCATAATATTACATATAATTGTGTTACACTTACAATTCCATTTCTTGTAATGATTCGCGTAATTTTCGTAGATAAGGGCAACTTTCATCAAGCTCCGGTTAACCCAACCGGTCTAGTAACATGCAGGATTGCAATCGAAGCTGATATCGGAGAGAATATGTGAGTTGAGAAAATATATCAGCTTCGGTTGCAATCCTGCATGTTACTAGACCGGTTGGGATAACCGGAGCTTGGTAAAAGTTGCCCTAAGGCCCGGTTTCACCAACGCGAGTTAATCTAATCGGTCGGTTAACTTAACAGGGTGCCAACATAGAACTTCTTTATTAACCAAGAAAATAGGTTAATAAAGAAGTTTTATGTTGACACCCTGTTAAGTTAACGGACCGATTAGATTAACTCGCGTTGGTGAAACCGGGCCTAAGAGATTCGAAGATTTCGTGGTTAAATATTCCAATTGTCAATTCTGCGCATGTCGAGCGAAAAACGCCGCAGTCCCGAGTGCGGCGAATAGTTGTCGTCCAGGCGTTTCATCGAACTGAAACGGAACGATTTCATCCACTTCATCCGGGTAAAACACCCAGGGAAACAGAACGGAATTGGACGCATAGTTGTCGCCCGGGCGTTCATTCGGAACGCACCCCAGTAGTTTATTAACAGTAGAAAGGATTATCCAACGACGTTAGCCTGCCAGCCTAACGTCGTTGGATAATCCTTTCTACTTTTATAAATAGGTTGAAATTTTAATTTTAATAGTTTTTCGATAATGCTAAAGAAGGAAGCACAAAAAATTTGCTTCTATGTGAAATCTAGGAAAAGAAGAAGCCTGAAGTGTAAAATACACCCACATGCGCATATTGAAAGATTAACTGTAGTAGAAACGTAAAAAATACGTTTCTTAAATCATGGTTTCAAAAACGTTTCCGTTCGAACGTTTCTCAATAGTTCTTTACGGTTATGAAACTATATATACGTTTAAAAAATGTATATGAAACCAACCCAGTAAGGAAACAAATGTCTGAAAGATATTCCGAAGATGATCTGAAATGACATTTGAATATCCTCGGAACATTGTCGGTGGATATCCTATGGACATCTTCAATGCGCACATAGTCTAATCAGAAGATGTCTTGTAAGATAGTCTTCAGAATGTTTGTAGGATATCTATAGATGATACATCTATTGATCTTATGATGGTGATGATGTCAAAATTGTTTTAGGGATATCTTTAAGATGTTCTCTAGATATTATCTTTGAACGTTCTGCCAGAGCAAAAAACGAATTATTTTTAGAATATACTTAGAATGTTTGGCAGCTATATTCTCCGCATGTTTCATTTAAAAAATCCTGTGCATAAATGTACAGCGTGTTCTGTTGATTTTTTCAGAATGTTTTTTGAGAAGCACAATAACGGTCCCAGAAAGCTTAAGGGAAGGGCAGGGCATAAATAAAATATGGAAATAAATGTCAAATAATTATTAAATGCTTTAGTGAATTAAAGAGATACATTTAAATATGATGCACAGAATAAAAATAAAATTCGAAAATATAAAAGTAAAAACTTAGCAACTATATACTACAAGACAGAGAAATAAATCATAGGCATAAGCTTGTGTCTAACACATAGAATACAAACACATGTAATTAACATAATACGTAAGTGAGCTAAAAAAATTATTAATTATACATTATAATTTATTTATAACATTAATTATTAATCGCTCAAGTATAGAACAGACTATTTGTTAAAATAAAACAGGTACAAACTTACGTCTAACATATAAAATGCGAACAACATATGAGCCGTTATTTTTTTAAGTGATAAATCTAATTTTGGAAAAAAATGTTATCTACAGACTAGATCTCCTTTTTATTTTTTAAAAATGAAACAAAAGTGGACTTATATAATTTTAAAAATGCATCATATATAGTATATACGTAAGTGTAAAAAAATCATTGACTTCTCCAGGGCAGGACAGGAAGTGGGTCTTCTGGTTTCAGTCTTGTTTCAAATGTCGTCAGCCAACGACCATCCCTTTTCTTAATGTCGTCACATATCACTATGACTGTTCTTCCTTCATTTTTCACAATTAAAACACTTATAGCATCTACAAATAACGATGACAATTTAAAAAATGCATTATTTGTAATACACTATAACGCCTGACTCTATGTGATACTACATAAAGCTTTACCTTTTAAAGCTTTGTGTAGGTTCCTGTGAGACTTCACGGCAATTTTCTTTGTTGATTTGTGAAGTCCATCCCAAGTATAGTATCCAGCACAAAAGGGTATCATGATGAGTCCTATCAAGATGTACCTAATATGATGTGCTGTATTTTTTATAGCTTTAGTAGACAAGAATTCCACCTGTGTACACACAAATACATATCATGATTTCTAAAACATGATAAATTTATATGACTCCATAACAAAAAATAAATAAATGAAATAAGTTAAATAATTGACTGAAATTAGTTAAATGACAACTTTGCTTACAAAATCTGCAAAAACTACTTTATCCTCAAGTTTTTCGTCCAAGAGTTTTATTTCATCCGGATTGGCACATGATAAAATAAGATCTGGCACCACTGTTGTAGATGTTTTAACGCTTTTCCGTTGTAACTTGGATTTCAATTCTTCGATGGACTGTTGCAATTGCTTATTTTGTAGATTAGACTTGTACATCTGTTGTGTGAGAGTTCTGATAGTGTAGGCGCATGGCCATGTTACCATGCGCTGAACGTAAGCCTAAGAGGCTCACGCGGATTCGCTGTCCCGTGAGCCACGTGACTTGCTGCGCAAGTCTATTGCGGCGCTGCGTACGCGCCAACCGTCGTCCCTGTTCGTGACTTCGTGCTTGCACGAACAGATAGCGTCGGGACACGTAACGGTACGGACGTGTCTCCCGAGTCACAACCTTCTTCTGTGTATTCAGTATATCCAATAAATACCACGTATATTCACCTCATATACATCGCGCACTTACCACCACCCACGCAGTGTCCTATCTACCGGGAACTACCTTCTCCCGATAACCACGAAGGACACAACAATTGGCGACGAGGATTGTGAATTCGCCGGGCAACTGGTGACAAGGATCACGAAGCCGCCAAGCAACAGGCGACAAGGATCGTGAAGCCGCCAAGTATCTGGCGACGAGAAGCGTGGATTCGCCAACAAACTGGCAACGAGGTTCATAAATTCGCCGGGCAAGGGCGAAGAACTGTTACAAAGTCGCGAGAGTGAGTAGTTCGTGTGATGGCTGCTACAACGCCTAACACAATAAATCTCGAGCCGTTCGATCCAGACAAAGGTCCCTGGTCGGATTGGCAAGAACGCCTCGAGAGTGCCTTCAGACTGCACAAGATTGCGGAAGACTTGAAGGTGGATGGATTACTGAACTGTCTAGGTTCAACGGCATACAGCTCGCTCAAGAACAGACTTGTACCTAAGAAGCCATGTTCGGAATCTTACGCCACGTGCACGAAAGTACTACAAGACTTCTACGAGCCGAAGCCCAATAAAATCGCAGAAAATTTCAAGCTCTGGACTCGGAAACAAGAAGAAGGAGAGAACATTCAAAGCTTCATCACGGCCCTGCAGAAATGTTTGATAAATTGCAAGTTAGGAGACTTCGCAAGTACAACGATACGGAACGCATTCGTTTTCGGCCTGAGGAACAAGCGGATACAGAGCCGGCTACTGGAAACACAGGATCTGACGTTGGAAAGGGCAATCGAGATCGCTACCACGATGGAACTGTCCGAGGCGGAAACCAGCCGACTTCAAGGGGAAGCCATCGCTGCCGCCATCCAGACTACAAAGAGATCGCCGTACAAAGATAAGTCAAAACATACAAAAAAGGTCGCGTCGCGTAACAATACGAATAGCGAGCGCGCGAGCGGTCAAAACATAACGTGTTTTCGGTGCGGCAAGCATCACTACGCATCTGTTTGTACGATGCAGCGTAACATCAAATGTTTATCGTGCGGTAAATCGGGACACATAAAGAAGGTATGCAAGTTGAAAACGTTAAAGTATAATAAACCCGAAAATCAAACGTTAGATATCTTAGCAGCAGAGCATACCGAATTTCGTAAAACAATTTACTCTACGTTAAATGTAAACGGACGAAATGTACAATTCGAGGTAGACAGTGGCGCATCTGTTACCTTAATGTCTTTAGATAACGCGAGATTATTATTCAAAGGCGAAACAGTGTTTAAAATGGATTTGAAATTAGTTGCCGCAAATCAGACACCGATACAACTGTACGGTTACATTACGGTTAAAGTAAGAAGCGATGAATCTGTGTGTGAACTAAATATGTACCTTACGGTGCAACCTAGAGAACCACTTCTCGGAAGAGAATGGATGTTACAATTACGCGAGTTCAAAAGTATTCTCAAATCTCTGGGTCAGATACAATCCGTAAGTACAATGTCAAAATCATCGCGGGTACAGGAATTATTGAAAGATTTTCCAAAATTAGCAGACCCCTCAATATCAAAAGTTTCAAACATTCAGGCAAGGTTAAACGTAAAAGCTAATATAACGCCAGTTTTTCTGAGACCAAGGTCCGTTCCTTTTCGATTGCGCGCGAAAGTAGAAGAAGAATTAGACAAACTCGTGAATGCGGGTATTTTCGAAAGGGTGGATTGTGCCGATTGGGCTACGCCGATAGTGCCCGTCATCAAAAAGGATGGATCGGTACGAATTTGCGGGGACTATAGCGTTACACTTAACCCCAATTTGAAAATTGATGCTCACCCTTTGCCGACCCCTGATGAATTGCTTACGCAAATGGCGGGTGGCATAATATTTTCCAAGATTGATCTTACACAAGCATATTTACAATTAGAGGTAGGTCCTCAAGACCGCGAATATCTTACACTCAATACACACAAGGGTCTATACAGATCAACACGACTGATGTACGGTATTGCATCAGCCCCGGCCATTTGGCAAAGGACGATTGAAAATATCTTGAAGGATATAACGGGAGTCGTTGTATTTCTCGACGACATACGCATTGCTGGATCCTCTTCAAAGGATCATATGGAAAAATTACGTACGGTTTTTACGCGATTGCAAAAATACAATATTCGGATTAATCTTCAAAAAAGTGAATTTTGCACGGATCAAATACAATATTGCGGTTACATTATTAACAGTAAAGGCATAAATAAAGCGCCCGAGAAAATAGAAGCAATTAAAGAAATACGGAAACCTAATAATATTACTGAATTACGCAGTTTTTTAGATATGATCCACTATTACGATCGTTTCATTCCCAAGTTGAGTTCGACTCTGCAACCCTTGAACAAATTACTTCAGAAAAATGTTGTGTTCAAGTGGTCGACCGCCTGTGAGAAAAGTTTCCAAGAAGCTAAACGAGCATTCGTTAGTCCACGATGCTTAGCTCATTTCGACCCTACATTACCTATTACACTCGCTACCGACGCCAGCCCGTATGGCGTTGATGCGGTCCTTTCTCACATTTTTCCGGACGGCTCGGAACGAGCCATACAGTTTGCCTCACAAACACTTTCCAAAACTCAACAGTCTTATTCCCAAATAGATAAGGAAGCATACGCAATCATTTTCGGAATAAAAAAGTTTTATCAGTTTTTACAAGGATCTAAATTCACGTTGATAACGGATCGATCATCGTCCACTTACGCAAATATTATCACCTACGAAAGGTTTGCCTACATTTACAGCATCGCGAATGCAGCATTACGCGCTAATATTGCAAGGATTCAATTACAATATTGTTTACAGAAAATCGGAACAGCATGCTAATGCTGATTGCCTTTCGAGACTCCCTATACCAAGCACCGGTCAATGTGATGCAATTGACGTGTTGCAAAACACTACGTTCGAGACATTACCCGTTACAGCCACACAAGTAGTAGAAGCTACTGGCAAGGATAAGGAATTAGCGAAGCTACGGGAATTTCTTAAGACAGGTTCAGGTTCTTTTAAGAATAATAAATTTTATACGGTTCCACTTAGTGAATTTTCCCTATTAAATAATGTCATTTTTAGAGGACATAGAATCGTAGTTCCAGCACCATTACAAAAGAAAATCCTACACGAATTACACACCGGACATTTCGGCATCGTTAGGATGAAACTGCTAGCACGTAGTTACGTGTGGTGGAACAAGATAGACTACGACATCGAACAATTAGCTCAAAATTGTTTTGATTGCAATTCATTCAAAAATAATCCAGTTAAAGTATCAAATCACATCTGGGAACCAGCACAAAACTCATTCGAACGTGTTCATGTAGACTTCGCAGGTCCATTTCTGGGACATTATTTCTTTATTTTAATCGACGCGTATACGAAATGGCCAAAAATACACTTGGTCAAGGATATAACTACGCGTACTACAATAAACCTTTGCAGCCAAATATTTTACACTTATGGATTGCCTCAGTACTTTGTGAGTGATAATGCGAGAACGTTCACATCCAACGAATTTGCAAAGTTCTTAAAATCGCTAGGTATCACACACAAATTTACCGCTCCTTACCATCCTGCCACGAATGGGCAGGCCGAGCGATACGTACAAATATTAAAGAATTCCTTAAAGCGCATGCGAACTACAAATGCGAATGCATACGTAGACTTACAAGAGTTACTTTTTCAGTATAGAAATACGCCACATGTAGCAACGGGATTTTCTCCCGCGGAATTTCTTTTTTCTAGGAAAATACGAACGCGTTTTGATCTGTTACGACCGTCTAGTACTCAACATACTACATGTAATACATTTCCTTTCAAATTTACGGTGGGGAAGAGAGTTAGCTGCCGAGATTACACCGGAAAAACAAAATGGTTATTCGGAAATATTGTTGAGCAGATCGGCGAGCTACATTTCAAAATACGTCTTGACGATGGCCGCGTTTGGAAAAGGCATGTTAACCAAGTGCGACCGATCGGCGAGGATACACCTCGCGATAGTAATAGCGAAAGTGATTACGATTATTTCGACTATGACCCACCGAGAAATAGTTCTAACGAAAACATTCGTAACGAGAACAATACAGATAACAACGCAAACGATATAAGAAACACGGTGAGCAAAGACATTAGCGACAGGACTATTGTAAATGCGAGTCCATCCGGAACTTCTACTCCTAGGGAAAGTACACCCTCGACATCAGGTCCGTCATACTCTTCGTTAACTTCTCCGGAAGCAGATTCTTCATTGTATTCTACACCGACGGCACCTTCCAGGACATCTACGCCGAAACCGTCTCCGCCACCGAAACCGGAAAGCTCTAAAGCTACTCCTACATCAGCACGCCCTTTACGTTCAACTAAAGTACCTTTACATCTGAGAGATTACATTTTGTTCAAGTGACCTTTTGCATTACTAAGTAAGGGGAGTGTTGTGTGAGAGTTCTGATAGTGTAGGCGCATGGCCATGTTACCATGCGCTGAACGTAAGCCTAAGAGGCTCACGCGGATTCGCCGTCCCGTGAGCCACGTGACTTGCTGCGCAAGTCTATTGCGGCGCTGCGTACGCGCCAACCGTCGTCCCTGTTCGTGACTTCGTGCTTGCACGAACAGATAGCGTCGGGACACGTAACGGTACGGACGTGTCTCCCGAGTCACAATCTTCTTCTGTGTATTCAGTATATCCAATAAATACCACGTATATTCACCTCATATACATCGCGCACTTACCACCACCCACGCAGTGTCCTATCTACCGGGAACTACCTTCTCCCGATAACCACGAAGGACACAACAACATCCAACGGAACAAACGTCGAATGGTATACTCTATGAAAAAAGAAATGCAAGAATAGAGCTACAAATGTTTTACGGGACAGTGCAAAAGTATTAAAAATAAAAACTTACCAGTCATAATACCCAACTCATTCGTGGTGGAGGTGCCATTTTGTTTAAATTGCTTCTCTAAAAAGGAATCGACTACTTTAGTGCCATTACTTTCAGCATCCAGCTCTTGAATTAATGCATTAATCTTATTTCTTCCAGCATCTTTATCCTCAAAATCAGAGCTATCTGTATCGGATTTACTAGATAATGAGTTGGCATCTGAGTCTTCTTCAGAATCTTGAATTATACTTTTCTCTGCACACTTTAAGGATGTAATATTTTGGGGGACACTATTAAGTTCCTTTCCATTCGCAGATGCTGAATTTGATTGGTTTGGCTCACTTGAAGAGCTCTGGTTGCCGACATTCTTAAAGCCAAATAATTCTGAACCTACTTCCAGCCGTCGCTTCTTAGATTGAAATGGCACACAGGAAATCTTCGTCGCCTTTGATAGCTTCTTGCAATTATGTATATCCTATCGGAGAAGGAAATATTGGCACGGCATTTTCTATTAAATTTTCATCTATACAGAATAATATGCAGAAATTAACACATTGAGCACCAAAAGCATATATCATCATTTCTAAATACTCATTACTTACCATTTTCTGCATCTTCAGTGTCAAGACCGGCTGAACCTGATTTATAAAGTACAGAATGTTTGTTTTGGCATTTCTTCAATGATACTGAAAAATAGAAAACAGATAAATGAAAATTAAATAACGAGAAAATAAGGGCAAACATATAAACTAAAATCCGTACCGCCAAATCTCTTTTTAGGGTAGATCTTGATAATTAACTTTTCCTCGCAGTCTGTATCAGGAGGGTTACCTCTTTTGATAGCTATATTAATTTCTGACTTGGATAATTTGGTAGGCCACAAACAAAATGTGGAGCCTTCCTTCGTTTTAATCCACGAAGAAGGTATGACTGATGTGGTACTGTTTTCTAATGGAAATTCTACAATGCAGAAGCTATAAAAGAAATTAATACTATTGTGGAGAATATATGAAACAAATTCTTCGAAGTAATACTTTAAAAGTTTAAAACCCATTCATGTATATTAAAACTTCTACCGCATCTTACAATTGAACAAATTCATTTTTACTAAAGTAATTCAAATAAAAAAAAAATCAATAATAATGTGTAATTATTAGTATACTTGCATGCAATACTTGCATGCAAAGATAAAAAAGATAAAACACGGAATAAAACAAAATTTAGTAGATTAAAGTAAAATAAAAAATATAAATGGTTAGAATAGCTCACAAATATTCCAAAGGAAATCGAAGAAGTTTATAACTTTTTTGTTAAATTAAATGTTCATGTATTTCAACATGATCAATCAATATAATTATAGTTTAACACACACACACTGTACAGTACTACGATACGTACTTGCACTTCTAAGCAATAATTTTTTTTACCTTTTGAAATGTACACACGCATCTTTCTCATTAATGCGAGGTAAGCTTTTGTCTGTAAAGCGGCAGGACACATGCCATCCGTAGTTATACATCCGAACTCAAAGTGAGATCTTTTTCCTCCTCTGTTTTGTTTTCATTACTAGTTAAGTTACTGCTTTCACTTCCTACAGTCATATCCCCTACATCAAAACTTATCACACTACTGTATTGATCAGAATTATGCATTAACATATTATTTAGATTAATAGTTTCAAAATTATTCTTTTCTTTAAAGTGACTGTAAACGTCAATGTCTGGCAATGCATCCGATGAGGAAGAAGGCAGTATACATTCTTGCACAGCGGCATTGTCTGTTAGAGATTTGGCTAGGCTTTTTATTTTCTTATAGTGTCTATCAACTTTAGCTTTCAGTAGTTGATACGTTTTCCTTGATGTATTACGGTTTCTTTTCATTTCGGCAAAAAATGAACAAGTAAAAAATAACGATTAAATGTTGGTCACTATATTTTAATCCATCTAACCTGTCTGTTTTCACGTTAGTAATGTTATTCTTCTTTACTATTTTATTCATGGCCTGTTAAACAGAAATAAATGAATAGTAATTATTTTCAGAAAACTCAAACTGCAGCAAATAACTCATTAATCCTAAGAGATTAAGATTCCATGTGTTGTCAGGAGTTCAGATTTATGCGAGGTATTTGCAGTTCTCGGCGAATAAAAGTAACTATTCGGTACATCTTTGCTATTATCTCTGGTAATGCTAGCAAAGTCTAATTAGAAATAGTTGGACCAAAACAGTTGGATCGTAGAGTACTGCAAATCCCTTGCGTATGCGTACTTTTACATGTTCAACACGATAAAACGTGAAAATATACCCCAAACTATCAAATTTGCCAACTTTTGTTTCGATTTGGATTGGGAGTTATGCTTCTGGGAACACGTTGAATTCTAATCTTTCTTGAGATAGGATATCAATATTTCTTGGGTCTATCAAAATACAATACTAATACATGTGCATTACACCATATTAATATACAGGGTGTCAGATTCGATATGGCCGACCCCAAAGATTATAGTAGATTGGGTTAAACTGAGAAGAAAAGTTATATAAAATTTTACAAAATCCGTAATTATTATCGCCTAATTAAGAAAAACATCTGAGCCATTAAGTGCACGGAGGAGCGGAAGGCCGAACTCGGCAGCATGCAAAATGGTGTGTTTGTTGACATCTCTCAAGAATCGATAGCGAGAGGTGGAGTCACGCATCGATCGATGAGTGACGGGGGCGAACGGGGAGCGGTGAGCGGGCGAACGGCGCGCAGCGAGAGAACGCGCGACATATGACACCGTGCCGAAAAAGTTTTTCTGGTGGTAGGAAAATAATCTCCTCCGTGTGGATGACGTACTTCAGGATCTCCTTCATATGGTCTGGTATTTCCATGTACACTTCCTCGTCCAGCTTGCCGTTCAGGTACGCCGTCGCTACGTCGTATTGCCGAATATGCATCCCGTGTCTTGCTGCGAAAGCGATCGTCGAGCGTATGGAAGATAGTCGCGCGACCGGTGCGTACGTTCCATGAAAGTCCTTGCCGTACTGTTGAGTGTAGCCCTTCGCTACGATTCTGGCTTTTCGCCTCTCCAGGGCGCCCTCCGCGCCGTATTTGTTCCGCAGCACGAAACGGCTGCCGATGGTCTTCGGTGCTTCCGACCTGTCCACCAGATCTCACGTATCCTTCTTGAGGATCGACTTTACCTCGTCGGCCATTGCCCTGTCCCACTCGTCAGATTCTGGACCAGCCATTGCTTGCTTTAATGAGATCTCGCTCAAGAAGGCGAAGTCCTCTTCCTCTTCGGCGTAGCTCGCTCCAATCTTGATCTTGCGGGGCCTACCTGGTCGTCCGGTTCGTTCTATCCTCGGTCTACCTGGGCCTCGTCTAGGCGCATCGTCTGGTGCACGATCCTCGTGGATGGCTTCCTCGTTGTCGCGTTTTCCTTCCTCGTCGTCTGGGCTTTCGTCCTCATTGTCGAGATTTTCCCCGACGTCGGTGCGACGGTCCTGGTTGTCGAGGAGATTGACGACTATGTGTGGCTCCTCGCACTCCTCGGCGTTGTCTGGAGGACTCGACATCTCTTCGGGTGGGATTTCGTGTGGAATGAAATCTTCCCATTCATCGATCGATCGGGTTTGCTCCGCGTCCGTGAAATTAACGCCCCTGGACGTCTCTTTTCTTTCGGCAACCAAATCCGGTACGCTTTCGAACACCTCGGTGAACCTGGCACCCGACTTTTCCAAAAAAAAA